CATTGCTTGTCACGGCGGTGACGTAATGGGTCACATGATCCTTGAGGTTAGTCGTGCCATCGTATATTTTCATATAAGGCGGCATTTTAAAGGTTTATGGTATGGCATGTAGAACAGCGCTATTACTGTACGGCTGTTCGACGAAACGACCGGCATCTCTCTTCAACAATAACTTAGGAGCGGCCGGTATTTTATCAACCCTTTCTTGTTGCTCTCTCATTTAATCCTGAAGTGTCTTGTTCTTGTTTTCCATTTCCTCTATCCTTTTCAGAATAGTTGTGGGAGCGTCGTCGCCTGTATTGTTAACAACATTGTGAGTAATACCCGTCGTCATGGGTGGAGGAGGAGGCTGATTATGTTGCTCGTCCACTGGTGATGCAGCACAGGTTCTCGCCTTCATTGCGGCCGCATCCTGAACGGGTTTATGGAGGACACTGATCAGTGTATCAGTTAGCCAAACCTCAAGAAGCTTCTTTATCGCTGGTGGTGTCTCCTCTCCCACGAATGTGGAGGCTATCTTGCCAAGGAATTTTGTGATGCTGCAGTGAGGAGGGGGTGATCCACCTCGCCTAGGAGAGGCATTGGGTGTTGTGTACCCGTCCGCTGCTTCAGAACTTTCGTGGATGATGTCCATGAGGTTGGTTGGGAGGTTACTCATTATTCTCGTTCTTTCTTCTATGTTACCTGCCATGTTAGATCTTTGCATGTAGAGAGAAGAAGGTTCTTCTTCTTTTTTTGTCAGTAACCAGTGTCGGTTGTAGATCTAGAAGAAACTAAAAGACTTAGCTAGAAAATCCCCACAGACAACGCCAAATTATTTGACCAAAAAGTGTAATTTCAAACTATTTAATTTATACAATAAGGGGTTAAATCTAGTTAAGAATAATAACTCTAGATACTAATCTTTAAAACATGCAATGTGTGGGGACAGATCCCGTAAATAGTTGATGACAAGAAGTGCAGAATATTCTTAAAGCATGAACATTGATGGAGATATAACTAACAATAAATGGCAATAAATGGCATTTAAGTAAATAAAGAGAATGATTCATTGAATAATGGATGGGTTGAATGAATGTTTCTCCTGACAATGATGAGTGACCGATAGGTCCAAGATTCGTATGAACAATCCTCGGATCTAGTGAGAAGGTGGAGAATAATATGAACAAGAATCTTATCAAAATGTAGTTTTTGTATTCTTGCAAGAGAGAGAGAATCTTCTTCTCAAAAGTGTTCTTATCAAAATGAATATTACATGCCCCTATCATTGTATTTTCTTTCTATATATATGGGGTCTTTTCCTAGGAAACCCTAATAGTACAAATGGAGGGAATAGCTACTAGAATATTCCCTCTTAATATTCTATCCTGACAAATTAGTCGTTACAAGTCTTATCATCAATAGTCAATCTCGACCTCGACCCTTGTTGACATTTCGACTATGACTCCTGTCGATATCTCGATTATGGCTCATGTCGGCACCTCAGCCAATGACTTTGCTGCATCTTGGCCGAGCTCGACCGACTCTTTCTTTAATGTCATATTACGCTAAATTTCCTAGGGACAGATTTTGGCCTATACCGGAAGTAAATAATATATATAATGTTTGTTGAAAGAAAGATAAGATGATGCTTCGACTTGACAAAAGTTGATTTTGAAAAATATTTTGAAGAGACGAATAGGAACTTTAAATTAAAACCGATTAAATATTTACTTGCAAAGAGGCATAATTTCGGATAATAAAAGAAATGATTGAAAAAAAAAACTTAAAAAAACAAAAGGGTCAAAATTGTTTTTTCCGGAACTAAAACATGTTTTCATTTTGGGAAGAGTGTTTCAGTAATGAAAACAAGATGATCCACCATTATTGTAGGTAAATACCTTCATTTTTAACCACAGGTTATTATGTTTGATTTTTTGGATGAAGTCGTCTCTAGTAGAGATTATTTTACTTTCAAATTAAAACTTTCCGATGCGACGTCAAATTAGTCTCGTCCTAAGACAAGTATCGGATACACAAGATGGTCCTGATGGTTGCCCTTTTGAAACTTGGAGCTTTGAAAAGTTTGAAGAAAAACATTTTTCAAAGAAAAGATGTTTGAATTATTTTTTAAATATACTTTCAGAAATATTTTTATTAGTATTAGTTGATTTCTTATATAGTATATACGGTGAACCGTACCGATTCATATAGTATATACAATTCGATTTGCATCTCGAAAATTTGGAAGCCAAAACAGACATTGAACTATGCCGAGACAAGAACAAGACTTCATCTCCCAAGTTATCCAACTCGACAAATGTGGATTCTTGGGTCGTTGGTCTTGCAACCAACTTCCAAATCTTAACACTTGTTGGGCTTAGCATGTGGACGAAGTATTTCAACCTTTAGCAGCTCGTTAGTCGTGGTCTTTACGAGATAAAATTCTTTAAATTCCTTATATGAACTATAAGTTGATGGTGGTGCAATCTCCTTATATTTCAAAGTAGTGTTGTCTATTGATAAAACCTTACCATAATAAGTGACAATGTAGTATCTTTCGTTATCACAGCATCCCCGGGAAATTCCATGAACGGGAATCCAGGTTTTTGTTGTTTTAGGGCGTCATAATTGTTGGATAGGAAGAAAAACCATGACTTGCACACAACGCCAAAGCATAAGCAACCAGAGAAGGAAGGCAACTTTTGAAAAATCAAGTCAAGTACCAAATCCGAAAGCCTGGTCCAGTCTCTTAATCTTAACTTGGCATCCATTCGTATTTTCAAAAGAAGTGGTGGATTAAAGAGGAAGGGCTTGTGTTTACGTAGGAGAAGGAAATTAAAGTAGGGGATACAATTGTTCCTTTTTTTAAAAAAAAATTCTTTTTTCTTTTCTTGTTTCTATTACCGTATATAGGGCCAAAATATTTGGGCAGGGAATCCAAATTCCTTAAAAATAGGAGATTCTCCAATTCCTGCTGGGAATTAAAATTCTTCGAAAATTGTACTCCAATTCTTTTACTATATTAAACAACGCCATGCAATCTTGCCAATCTATGGCCTGAGATTTTGCTCTGCAGCTAAAACAGATTCAATTATTTTCTTGTTCCCTGACTTAATTTAAAGAAAATGTTGTACTAGTAACCTAATAAATAAGAAAAAGAATTTAAGTTATATGCATTGTCTTCCACTATCAGCAAATGTTTTACATTTGATAGCAGATTAATTATCATATTAACATATAATTACCTTATGAATGACCTGATAATGTAAAATCCCTACACTAACGGTGCATAGAACTTAAACACTAAGAAAAAAGGGCTTCGCATATGCTAAAAATTAGGGGTGTACATAGGTCGGGTTGGTTCGAATTTTTCAATTACCAAATCAAACTAATGGTGTCGGGTTTTTAAATTTATAAACCAAACCAAACCAATAAAGTCAAATTTTTCAATCTCGGGTATTTCGGTTTTTTCGGGTTTTCGGGTTTTTTCCCGGTAAAGTCTTAATAGCACAAAATATGTAATTTGTGCTCCAAATATTTATTTTAGTCCTAGTAGGATACAACTATATAATGTATTTTTCAAGAAAAAAAAATAATAATAATATGAGACGAGTCATAACATTGTACTAAAATATTCAATAATATAGATAATAAAATCGCACAAAGAAAATATTTTATTACTAATTAATGCACCATAATAAAAATTAACATAACCTAAAAATACTATATAGGTCGTGCTAAAATAAGTACAACTAATAAGTACTATTAATTACACAACTAATCATAAAAAAATAATAAACTAGGTTATACATTTTTATTATAAATCAATGCAAAACTAAAATATAGATATCCAACATTATTGTCATTCATAGTGTTGAATTGAATTTTCTTTATTAGCATTTGTATTGATTTGAATTTTATTTGACTTACTACCTTTATGGACTATAAAATTTATTGGATCATTCAAGAATGTTAAGTCCAAACTTTAAATAATCTTTTAAAGATAAAAGTGTGAACAAATTTAAGAAATATTTATAAATTATATTACAATAAATATCTATATGCATAAAATATTTTTTAAAATTATATAAATGTAATGTCGGGTTGGTTTGGTTTTGGTTTGACTTTTTTTAGTTAAAACCAAACCAATTATGGTCGGGTTTTTTTTCCAACACCAAACCACAATCGGGTTTTTTTTCTCGGTTTAACTCTGATTATCGGGTTGGTGGAATTTATCGATTTTCTTTATACAACCCTACTAAAAATTATGCTAGCCAATAGAGTATTCTCGTAGCTAATTATGATAGAATGTTTTATCATTGTTTTTTTAGACTTAAAATTAAGAGAATTTTAAATCCTAGCCCATGTTATTTTTCAAAAATCAAACCAAAATCAGATTTCTCATCCAATTCAAACGCCAAACATAGCAACAGAAGCATACGGAAAAAGGTATATAAAATTATAGCAACAGAATGGGCATACGGAAAAAGGTATATAAAATTAACCATCTTATGAATACGATGTAAGTTCCCCGAAAAAAATGAAATTGTTTTTTAATGCCAAAAGACTATGGGACACTATTAGCCATTCATCAGACATAATTATAGACTGATACTAATAAAACTAATGATACTAAAATGCAGTACAAATTTCTACTGCAGCAAATTGTATACGTGCACGCAAAACCTGTCTAAAGAGTACCTGTGTCCCAATTTTTGTGGCACTTTTCGTTGCTCAAAATTCAAATTTTGTAACTTTAACCAATATTTTAAAATATATTTTTCATCATATTGATATGAGAAATAGTGCAACTTACAATAATTTTCATATAATTTTTGAGTTGATCTAATCATATTTAGCTTCAAAGATTAGCCAAATTGGCTCTGGAAAATCGAAAAATGCCACAATATTGAGACGGGGTTATCCATAACGTTGGAGTTGCAATAATGTATATTGACCAAAAACGAAAAGGAGTTGCAATAACATATACAGCAGACTGTTTAGGAGTGAAGGAATTCTATCGAATTAACATTCACCACCAATAACACATACAAAATTGTATTTATCTAATAACACAACAAATCACCTTTATCCAAGGGAAAAATTACGTCGTACTGGGCACTTTGGTAAGTTTAACCAGTGTATCAGATACATGAACGTCGTTTTGTAAAATAGTTTGGTTACAACTGCCTCTATGGCCTCAAACATCAGACAATGCAGCAAATGAATTTCATGGTTGTGTAACTGAGCAGACAGAAAGGAAAATAACCCACAGTTTGGTGGAAGAAACCATAAACAGAGAATATAAATAGCTTTGATTCCTTTTGGAAGTAGCTACCTGCTTTAAAAATGATATCAGCTCAGTATACAGATACTGATGTGACAAATCGTCATGCCCTGCACGCCCAGAGGAGGTAAACCCAAGAACTCTTGCCTTTTTCAACTTTATGCATCATCGCATCCGATGATATTGAGTTCTTGACACATGACAGTGCCGACCATTTACAGAGTATTTGAGCATTATATCGACATCTCGAGGATTTTTCTTGTTAGGAGCCACAGTCATGCTTCCAACTACAGCTTCCCCTTGACAAATGGTTATCACATCTTCCAGGTAGAGAACTGTTTGCTTCCAATGTGTGCCCCGAGATTTTGGCCCTATATCATTAAGTTTTCATGGTTAGTAACAAGCAATAACTTGGCTTTTCTGAGATGTGATGCTCTTAATATTCTATGGTGCAGATCACTCGGGTCTTTGCATGAACTCTTTGGAATCCTACATACTACAAAAATCATGAGCTGATACAAGTGGGAAAAAAAAGGGTATCATCTACTGTGATCCCCACGTGCCATGTTTGTAGCTTATACTATTTCCCTCCCCCCATATTCTCTCACAAAACCCCAAGAAATTGTAAAAAAAGAAAATAATAAACTGACCAATCTAAGCACCAGACCCTCTGGAAAAGGAAATTGATATAGCAGAAATGACTAATATATGGAAAAACTGCAAGGAGATTACTGCAAAGACTAATGTCATAACTAAAAGCAACAAAAGCAAATGCAAGGACAAAAGTACGAACCTGTTGAGAAGCCCAACAACTTGTGGCACTTCGTGAAAGAGACATCGAAGTATGCTACAAGGGCATGGATGTAATCGTCACGTTCTGCAATGAGCTTAAAGGGGGCAGTGAAGGAAGCATCTCCAGAAGTCATCTTCGAAATGTCCATTGTCTGAAGGGAAGGATCCGTTGTCAGTAAAGGGAAAAGGCAAGATTATACATTATACAGCTATTTCAATAAATCCCATGGCAACTAAACTTGACCTGATTACCTTGAGTAACTGGCAGTTTGTAACAATCTGATTCTGATCTACTGTGTCAACAAGAGGTTCCATCATAGCTTGCTTCCGGATGCAGCTCATATCAAAACCATACACATCATTCCAAACTGCAGTAGCATAAGAAGGACCAAATTAACGCAAGCAAAAAATGGAATATAAGATGACAGTTGAGCCCCACTAGTGGGAAAAAACTGATGCCGCTAGAAAAAATAAATTCGAAGTGCATACTAAATAGGCAATACTATGGCAAATCATAATTCATCAAGTACAAAACGGGAAAGAGGAGTAAGCTTGCATTCGATCTTATCAGCCTTGTAGTCAGCATCTTCAATAGCTGTCAAATAGAGAGAAGCTTTATCTGGCAGAACAAGACCATCCTTTACCTGTAAGGGGAAAGAATGTAACTATAAATCATCAATCAAACTAGAAAACCTCCAAGACAAGTGAACACATCCAGTAGCAAGGCCAGACATTTGACATAAATTTGGCGAGCTAATCTAACCAACCTGCAATATCTCCCGAAAGCAACAATATGAAAGAGCTGGTTCAAGGGGAAAAGCGTAACTTTTGTAGTGAAATCATCCATTCAACTCAAGTCCTCAATCAAGAGCAGGACGGACACTAACTATAAGTACTCATTCTCATAGCCTAAAGAAGCCATATTTTCAAAGTCATCTTCCCAACAGTTGACTAAAATGATAAATCATTTGCACATTCACAGTTCAACTTTCTTTTTAGTGTTCAATATAGTTTAGTAGGAAATAAATCACCAAAGAAGCACTCTAATAATGTTCAAGCACAAGCGCAAGACAATCACATCTTTTCTCCTTTGCTTTTGTTGTCTTTTTTCCTTTTCCAGATTAGTCCATCTAAGGTGTTAAGGAGGAGGATCAGCAAGAAGGTTTGATCACTGCAAGTGAATGTGACGATAGCTGAAATATGTTTCACATGTGAGAACAAAATGTCGGGGCAAAATCTAGATTAGCATTCAATGGTAGAATGTAATCACGCCTTTCTTTTGAACCCGTCACCAAGCTTCAACAATAAGCATGGCCTAATTAATATAGAAGAGGTTGCGAATGTCACAGTATCATAGCTTGGAAAAGGACAGGGGCCCTCTTCCTCGTTCCACACATATTTCACTACTACCGACACTTTCTCCTGCTCAGACCTTTTACTTTGTGCCATCATTTCCGTCTCCCCTCTAAAATCTCTCAAACCCACAACATATAGTTGAAATTATTGATGAATGGACAGTTGGAAACAATATTTCACACGCAGCTTCTTTTCAGTTAATAGTTCAACCTGCAATCTTTTTAACTACATTAAGGGGTTAACTCATTAAAACACTAGGCCAACAGTCTTGGGTCTACTTCATGGTTTCTTCAAATTACTAAATATATTTTCTTTATAGATAAGTATCTGTTGTGCTACATACAATTTCTCTTCATCCATAAAAGTACTCAACCTAATATCTATTGGTCCATGCTTTCTCTTCATCCATAGAATTACTCAAAACCTAATCTCTATACATTCATGCACAGGCAGTCACATCACTAGCACGGAAAATCTATCCTGAAGAGCTGACATCATCATTAATCCAAATGACAAGTTGTACATCATCACAAGCAGAGTAACTTACCAGCCACTTATCACGAGCATACAAAACTGTATCTAACATGTTCTCGTACAGCAGAAAGTATCCCATCCACTCAGAGATTATAATATCCACTTGTGGAACGGGTAAGTCAATTTCCTCTACCTTTCCCTTGATAACTGTTATAACTGAGATAGAAAGAGAACAGACTCAGTAAAGTAGCATCAGAATAAATACACCAGAATACATGTCACAAAGTAGATGATTTAGTGGTAACATCCGTCTCACCATCGGAAAAACCATTGAGTTTTACAATTTCTTGTGCCATGTCAGCCATACTGGAGCATTCAATCTGAAAATTAAATTGTAAAGGATTAGCCATGCCCATACCGCATTAGACTAGTTCATGTTGGCTTCTTCTAGCAGTTTTACATATTTAGTTTGACGATATTGCAAAGACAACTGCCTGTTTCACTTAGCTTTCCAATCAATTCGTATTCCAAAATCTATTGCAATATCTTCACAAGAACCACAATGTAAAGCATGGTAATGGAAGACAATGTTGGTTTTTTAAGAGTAGAAACTGGTAAGGGAAGCAGTGAAGTTTGTCTAACTGCCAATGTTCAGAAAGACCCAGTAACTGATGAGAAGGTTCTTGAAGGCGGAGCGCTGGTATTGGCAGATATGGGTATATGTGCTATTGATGAATTGGACAGGTTGGATGAGTCTGATAGAACAGCTATTCATGAAGTAATGGAGCAGCAGACTGTTAGCATTGAAAAGGCTGGGATCACTACATCTCTGAATGCAAGGACCGCAGTGCTTGCTGCTGCTAATCCTGCCTGAGGAAGATATGATATGAGAACGACGTCAGCTGAAAATATTAATCTTCCTCCAGCTCTTCTATCAAGGTTTGATCTTTTATGGCTAATCTTAGATCGAGCAACTATGGATGCCGATCTTGAAATGGCTGACACATTGATTATGTGTTTGAGAAGCTGACATTTTGCTACCCCAGGATCACCCATCAAACATATATGTAAATCTCCTCTGATCTTCATACCATCCTTGAACTTCGGATAAGAAGAAGAAGAGGAGCTTTCCTGATATTCTCGTGCCCAAAAATTTCAGAAAGGAACTGAGAACACTGATGGTTCTGATCCAAAACAAAAGATGCCCCCTGAGATCAAGCGATTCGATGAAGTGTACATCAAAGCATCTCCAAAAGGTCAGCCATTTACAATTCGGGAAGTCGAGGCTTCATATATTGGTCAGCTTATCAGGATATCTGGTATTGTGACACGCTGTTCAGACGTCAATCCACTGATGCAGGTGGCTGTATATACATGTAAAGAATGTGGATTCGATATCTATCAGGAAGTAACTGCTAATTCCTTTTGTTTGACTGCCCATCCTATTGCTGCAAGGTAAATAAAGCAAAAGGGAACCTCATCCTTCAACTTAGGGCATCAAAGATATTGAAGTTTCAAGAGGCCAAAATTCAAGAGTTGGCTGAACATGTTCCCAAAGGAAACATTTTACGGGGAACGTGACCTTTGGAAACATATTCAGCCAACTCTCGAATTCTGGCCTCTTGAAACTTCAGAAACTTTGATGCCGTAAGTTGAAAGATGAAGTTCTTAGCTACATCTATTCCACTATACTTCTCTTAGCAATTCCTCTGTTATTTCCTAGTTTCTCTTTTTTTTTTAAAACCAACATAGTGCACAGTGGGCCAGCCACCACAGAACAATCACGAAAGAACAAGAAATTACACAATATAGAAATGCAAGTATTAAATGAGAACAAGGAACAAGTGGAATGCATACCGCATAAACATGTTTGGCACCAACTTTTGCGCAAAAGAGTGACAGGATTCCTGTCCCAGCTCCCACATCAAGGACAACTTTGTCCTTGAAAAGAAAAGAATTTTTATATATTACATTTTGGTAAGTCTTAGTTCTTACCACATCCTTCAACATCTCCTGTTAACAAGGCAAAATTACAATAGAACCATGTAAAAATCATCTTTAAGCAAAATTTTATCAACAAAAGATGCAAACTTGCACGAAAATTCAAAGAGAGATGGATACTTACTTCATGAATACCTGCAAAATCATCAATAAAACAAAGGAGGAAAAATTAGCCTCTAAAAGTAATATCAGACCAAGCAAATATGCATAAATCTGTCAGCTGGTAATAAAAGTTGAGGGTCAAGTGGGGTACTATAGGTTACTGAAAACTCTGAGACATAAAAAAAGATACTTTAATCCACAAAGAATATTGAAAAACCAATCAATACATGAAAAGCTAGCTTATCTATGAGCAAGAAAGGTTTTCCTCCTCCAACAACAAACCCAGTGAAATCACACAAGTGAGGTGTGGGGAGGGTAAAGTGTATGCAGACCTTATCCATACCTTATGACGGTAGAGAGTTTGTTTCCGAAAGGTTTTCCTCCAACAACTGAATATTTTATAGCATTAACTACATTCCAAATACCTAGACCAAAAAATAGGAAGAAGAGATGTAGGTTGAAGTATATTGAAGTTTAATTGCACCCAAGTATATAGCGTAGTAGTGGTTAATAAAGTTGGAGGAGAACCATGAGTTCTCAGGTTCAAATCCAAGTGGACGCAAAAAAACTAGGTGATTTCTTCCCAAATTTCTAAGACTTGATAGGAGGTAGCAGGTACTGGGTGAAATAGACAGCAAACTAGTATGGAAACCACCATTATAAAAATAAAAAAAAAATCTAGTCACAACTATTAATGCAAAAAATAAGTGTAGTTTACATCAGTCAACCAGTTACCCCGAATTGCAAAAATCAAAAAGTAAAAAATATTCAAACTCCGTTTTCCCAAAAGCTGAAACAAATGCCACCTAAGTTTTCCTTAGCTCTTTTCTACTCCAAAGCTGCTTTTTTTCTTTCTTTTTTTTGAGGGGTGAACTTCCCCAAAGAAAAAATGAGATTCTCAATACTTGTAGAAACTCAAATTCAGTACTAAATCTAGCTAAAACACAGTAAATAACGAACTACGATGAATTAAACTGTACTGACCAAAATGAGAATACGAGTCAAAATAATAGTCGGCGCTGGTCTTATCGACGTCAACAATTGAATCATCATTGGCGGAGGCGGGGCGGCCACACATAGAAACATCTTCGTCGATTTCAAGGTTTGAACTTTCCGTAACAGTTTCATCGCCTTGCTCTACTACCTGTTCGTCGTCCTCCTCGTACTGAAATTTGATTTTTGAGGGTTTTAAATCGTGAGTGCTTGTACTTGCTGAATTTTGATTCTCATTGTTGGTTCGTGAATCCATTTGTTTGGTTTGAACAGATTTTGGAGTTGTGTGAATGTTGATTTTAGGGTTTAGGGTTTTAGAATAAATGGGTGGCTCCAAATTAGGGTTTATGAAGGAGCAAATATCTGTGTGGACCCCACTGTTCTGCTGGACCCACTACTCAGTTTTTATTTTACCTGGACACTATTCTTTTTGTTTTTCTATTTTTTTTGTGAGTTGAATGTCGGTCGAAACTATTTATATCTCTTAACCGTAAAAGTATATAATATTTTTATACTTTTTATATATAATATATACAAAAAATATATTTTTTTAAAATTTATATCTAATAGCCATAAAAAAAAATTGACTATTATTTTAAGAACGGCTATACAGTGTCACTTTCTTTTTCTTTTTTTTCTTTTTTTTTTTACGTAGCTAAGTATTAGATTGACCAAATGATCAAATTGAAAATTGAAAATTGAAACTTATCACTTACTGTAGTTAATTGATATATAATGCTACCTAAATTTATTCTTTAATCATAATAAATTAGCATATATAATCATTGCTTACCGAGTATATTTAACTTTTAATTAATAAAATTTTGCACCAAACCCTTTTTAAAAAAATTTAATTTTAGAACATAAAAGAGAGAAATAGAAGCCCTAGGACAAATGATCTTGGCAAAGTGTTGTGGTGGAGTAATAAGTATTTCTTTATTCTTAGAGGTTTCAGGTTCGAGCCCTGGTCATAGAGTCACTTTTGCTAGAGACGCTTTACCCACCCCACCCCAATGTAAAATTTTTCGACGCGAATCAAGATTTAGTCTGGCTCCCATGCGAGTACCGGACCGAATGGGAAACCCAAAAAAAAAATCTTGAGTCGTTACTTTGGATTTGAACATGATTTTCTTGGAGTAGTTGCAGACTTGCAATTGTGATCGTTGCGTTGCCTGTTATGTTCGCCGTCATATTTGCATTGGCCAATAAGGCACTCAACTTCCAGAGAAGATAATTGAGTTCACCTACTAAGACTTAATGAGAAAGAAGAGAATACAAAACCACAATACATATATATCACTACAACAACAACAACAACTCAGTATACACTAGTGGGGTCTGGGGAGGGTAGTGTACGCAGACCTTTTCCGATAGACCCTTGGCTCCCTCCCTCAAAGAATTCTCTACCTTGCTCTTGGGGTGACTCGAACTCACAACCTCTTGGTCGGAAGTGAAGGGTGTTCACCACTAGAGCAACCCACTCTGATCAATACATATAGATCACTACTTGAATTTGTCTTGTAACCTTCTTTTTGTTACTGTGTGTGTTCTTTTGTTTTTCCTTAATCCCAAGTTTTGTTTCTACAAAGAAATAATTAGATAATGACAAATGAAATACCAGAAATTTACTTCATTGTTGGCTTCTGTTTTTTTTTTTTTTTCTTTCTTTCTTATAACCTAGAATACTTCTCCCATTTTTTCGTGCCACATAGCAACATTTTAAAATCATCAATCGATCAACCAGAAGAGTGCCGCAATACCTATGACATATCCATAATTCAAAACATAGTGCGCCTTCTGAAATGTACACTCTACTCACGCAATACCAAATAGTTATAGAATTCATCCAAATATCGAAAACCATCAATGCCCTCTAAGAATTTATGACCTCCCCTTCAAAACTAAACTGTGACCTTGCACACGCAAACCTTAATCCCACAGAACACACCACATCTATCATGTCGTTATATGAAAAATACGAGAACCTCATAATTATTCTAAGTCACAAGTAGAATACATATCCGATCAGCCAGAAGCCTTCCATTTGATCCCATCCGGTAGAAAATCAGAATACTCACAATTATATCTGATAGAACTCTCTAACTCCTTTAGGTGGCAATTGAACTCTAACCTCTTTTCTGCTTATAGTACTGTGTCTAATAGGAGAGTAGTTGGTTCAAGATTTACAATTGAATTCACATTGATAAAAAACTGATATCTTAGTAATTTTTTCTTGTATTATTGAGGCATATGCATGATTTACATTAGAAAGAAGTACTACCGAATGTATATAATTATTTTTCTATTTATTTAACCGCTTAAACCTATCTAATATATAAGTCAACATAATCTCGTTTATAATTGTTCATATTCACAAGTTTAGATAACGTTCAGTAATTTGAGTATACTACCAAGTTGATCGACGAAATAAGATTACTTTCCATCATTTTGAGTTTGCACTTTTTCTATTTCTTTTATTATCTCCCTCACACATACGTTTAATAATATATATGTTATTTTAAAAGTTTTTATTAATCGACACAAGATGCACTTGTGACGCACGAGACACATGCGATGAAAAAGATGTGTGACGCACGCATGAGCTAGGTTATTAAATATATTTGAGCCTTATAAAGTTATGTAAAACTCGGTGTTGATATCAAATCAAAAAATGCAAAACATATAAGTTAAACACTCTATGCAAATAAGTATTTACCAAATTACCTCCTATAACATATTAATATATAATGATAACATAAAAATTGAATCCAATGACTTATTAGTCCAAAAAAAACTAGGATGGTCAAATTTATGTTAAAGTAATAATGCACAGACTACAAACATCATGCCACGCATACGCCAAGTGCGCGCCTCTTGACTAGGCATACCGGTTTCCTACTAGCTCTACAATAGCTGGGAATAAAAGCAGCAACTAGGCTTATAGTTGGTCACATGGAATCTTCAGACCAAACAAACATTTCCGTTAAAGAAAGGAAACTAGAGTACAACTAAAGAATTCCAAGGGAGGACGATAGCTATTTACTAGATCGTTTGGCTGTGCGCACTCAAGACAGTCCAGAGCAGATACCTAGCCCTCGTAGTCCCCCTCAGAGAACTTGTTCTCCGAATAAAAGACAGCAACAACTGGGTTTCCTCCAAATTTTCTGCCATTCAATCCTTGTTGAGCTCTCGAGGAACCCTCCACATCCGTGTACTCCAAAAAGACCTGAGGATAACCAACAGCAAACATACTTAATAAACACGGAAACAAGGTTATAGCAGAAGTCTTTCAGCGGTGGTCCAAAAGCATTAATTTGAGGATTTACTAACTGTTGAAATATTATAAGTTGCTGCTGATAAAACCAAGAGATTATGTCAAAACCTGTATAGCATCCTAAGAATACTGGTTGTGTTTATATTTGCGTAGAATACTGGTGCACGGGTTTATATTTTTTTTAAAAAGGTATATTGGTGCATAATAAATTTGTGCAGAAAGCATCATGGTGCATACTGAATTACTAACCTTTCCAACCCCTGGTGTCGGTTCACCGTCAGGCCTTGGGCGTGGGATGGCTAAATTCACTAAATTACCTGCAAATTGAAGAAAGATAGTATAAATTTTCACATTAGAAGAATTGTGAAACCCAAAAATAAATTAAGTCAATTATATTTATGGCTAAGCTCATGATATCAAAGACTTGCGAAGATTTATGCCACATAAAAACATAAAAGAGCTATTAAATATAAAGCTCGAGTATTCAAAAGGAAAGAACAAGACTAGCTTGATGCGTCTGAAGTGACTGAATGTATTTACCAAATTTCCCGCATTCAGTTCTCATATCTTCCACTATATCTTCATAGTCTTCATCATCTTTGAGCTCATCCGCGCTAACCACATTTGTTAGGCATAAGACTTTAGTCGGAGGTCCACCAGGTTGTAGCATGAGTCTCTGCAAATCAAAAGCCAAAAACAAGCCACAGGCCCAAAGATCAGTCGACATTTCCCCTTAAGAAACAGTATAAGAATTTGACAGCCTAGAATAAATTGTCCAAACAAGCAAAGGAAAGAAACAAAAAGCAACACAGATTGAATAACAAAAGGATACACATTACCTGCAGTGCTATTTGTTGCTGAGCATGCATTAATATACTCTCCTGCTCTGGCTTAGGCTGTAAAGTACCTTGACTTGCACGTCTGACAGTAAGAGTTTTATCACCCATCTTAATCCCATTAAGAGCTGCACATGCAATATCTGTAACCGACACGTCAGAGTAAACACAAAAGGCATAGCCTTTCGAGTTTCCAGTTTCTTTATCTTTGACCAGATTAAACCCCCGAAGAGGGCCAAAGGACTCAAGCAACTCCCTAATCTGAGCTTCAGTGAAATAGTATGGCAGGCCTCCCACAAAAATACGGTCAGGACCTTCAAGCCCACCAGTGGATCCTGGTGATAATCCCACTGCAGCAAGGTTAAGGTTTGGATTCGGTTGGCTCGGACCAAGTGTTGCAGCCAGGGAGGGGTTATAATCAGTTGGTCTTCTAACTTTTACTTGTGTTCCCTACAGCGCAAAGAGACGATATTAGCACAAATTTGAGTTTCCTCCAATGTGAACTAAATATAGTCCAAGGCTGATAATACTTACAAAACAAGTCCTACATATGCAAAAGAATTAACCACTATAAAGTAAAAGGAGCCAGCAGAAAAAAAAAACCAATACAAAGAAGAAACAAGACCACCAGCATTAAATACATGCCTCAGATGAAGGTAAGAATTTAAACAAATACCAGCCTATACGTGAATCCAGGCCAACCTTTCACATACTCTCTTTGCAGGTGATTCAGAAGCCAACAAACTGATCCCTAAACTAGAAAGGAAGATTACCTCAAAGATAATGCCATCTAAGGCCATGGCATTGCTGGCCTCCTCCACGGATCTCATCTCAACGAAAGCAAACTTTTTCTCATGGTTTATATAAACATTAACAACAGCATCTCCTGGAAAACACAGTGAAAAATTAAAGCATTATAGGTATGGCATAGTTGCGTTAAGACGTGAAGACAGTTCAATTTGACTAACCTGGACCAGCAGTGTTTCCACCAATTGCCGACATAACATGATTAAAGTAGGTAGCCACTGACTGCACAACAATAAAATATTATCAGAAGACAGATTATAGCCCAAATTAAGTAAAATACATCTCATTTGTAAGTTCAAAATTTATTGAACTAGTGGTTTACTAATTCTAGAAATAATTCTTCTCTTTATAGAAGACAAAAGAAGTCACAAAACTTTCAACATAAGAATAGACTAATGTTAGAAATAAGCC